GAACATGTTTTTGCTATATCGGTCGATAAAAAGACAAAGACGGCATATTCTACTGTGACGTCCTCTCATAAAGAATATTACAACGCATCTATTAAATAGATAGGTAGAGAAGAAAAAAACTGACGATTCTTCAAAGTGGACGACAAATCAATGATACGATATATTATGTTAATTTAAAAAAAAAAAACAATTTTTTTTCAGCTTCCAGAGCCCGCTTAGTTTTTTTTGGGATGAGTAGATTATTAAAATAAATCGATCCGAGCTAAAACACTAGAATATTGAAACAAATAAATGCGTACCTGAATGCATCATTCAGAATAGTTAAGCCCTTACGCCACTGTCGGTATCGGCGTATTATTTTCTAGCATCTCCCCCCCCCCCTAAAATCTCGTCAGACGTGAATTTTTTTAGCTATACAACGCGTAAAAAATCGATAAGATCGTGTTTTGTTTACGGAGAACTCGCGATTACGAATATGTATAATAATATAATATGTGACATACGAGCTTGTGCGTATTTGATCAAACAAATAATCATAATCCACGCACACACACGCGTGAATATGTGACGGAGTGTAAATATAATACATTTACGTTAATATTGTGTTTAATGCGTATGGTGACTTGAGATTTGGGATTTTTTTTTATTCTTGTACAAGTGACCACGCAAACCGGTCCCATCAGTATATTAACGCACACTGTGTTATTTTAATCGTCGCGGTTTAAATGTTAGGAGGTATATTTTTTTTTATTTTTTTTTTCTGTTATTAACAGTCCGTCATCAACAACCCGAAAACCCATACTTGTCCTAATACGGTTTTAACGATATTTAAATATTTCGGGATAGGTACTTATTCTAAAAAACTAGGCGAACCAACGATATTATTAAGACAATTATTAGGTATTAGACTCGATTGTACAGCCATAATAAAATGTCAAATAACACACTTTATCACGTTGCTCGAGTTCCCGGTGTAATAATCACATGTATAAATGTATAAAAAAAAATCGTATTATTTTTCGTACTTTCTGTGTTGTATAATTTTTGTTGATTTTTAGGTCAACGAAAAAATAATTCCACCAACAATGCTCCGCTCAGAATCGTTTTCCGTTAGAAATGGTCTATCATCGTTGCGCGCGGATATCAATTAAATTATTCCATATGCCCTTCCGTCAAACTCCCCTTCTGCATAAACAGCGGCACACCCGTCACGTAATTCCGGCCATTTTTTTTTTCAACTAACACTCACCGACTAAAAAAATACAAAACGCTCAACTTGTCTATGGTGTACATAGTTTTCTAAAACCAATAGATTTAACACCGTCGATAATTTATAAATATTTAAAATAATACAATGACGAATAACAGTAAAAATAGATTCTTACTCCCGAAGTTCAAATATTTCAATAGACGGTGCAGTACTAACTATATCGCAACTACAAAAATAATAATGTTTAAAATTATAAACTACCTACTACAGTATTCTAATTTGAATATTAATTTACACGGCAAATTTAAATTTCAATGCCGTTTTTTTTTGTAATTTGAGTTATGTAAACTTTAAAATGATACCGCGTTGAACGACTTTTATTCGAATAATTTAGAAAATGTCCAAACGCTCAATAATGTTACCGTTTCTTTAAAACCGCGTGGTTTATTCATTCGGGATAAAATGTCGATAACAACAAACGATTTAATCGGATAACACGTACCGAAAATGACTATTGTTTACATTACGATTATACGGGCTGACGGCCTTTGTGTGTAAGTTCGATAGTACCTATTATTAATTATAATGGCGGGAAAACAAATTACACTCGGAGCGCGCAGGTATACGGCCATCGAGTCATATAGTCGCACAGCGGTTTAGAAATATTGTAATTTATTATTAGACTATCGAAATGTATATTGTATATGCCGTTGAACCGCAGATAAAACGGAAAAATCGAAGATACCGGGGTATGACATTATTGTGGCGTGTTTAGCCTATAATGCGATATCGTCCGAGGAGTACACGAATTTACTAATTTTTCGAATATTCCAGATAGCGCGGAACTCCGGTTATTTACGATAATGGTTTTTTAATCTGTCGTTTCTGTTTATCCGGGCCGGGTACAACCGTATAATATGTACGCGACGGCAGCGTGTTTTTTTTTCTTTCTGATTTCAACTATAATAATAATAATTGTGTAACATGCGTATTACATAATAATATTATCGGTCGCCGAGCGACCGATATCCGTGAGCCCTGTGTAATTGTTGAAAATTCTAGTTTTTTTCTACTAATCTTTCTTTACGATAAACGCCTGGATTGTGTTTAAAGATAGGGGATGTGTCGAGTTTGTAACCGTTAAAAACCGATAGTAATTAATATGATTAATCGAATTAATACACAAACTGCGTGTAAATAGACGACTACGCAAAATGAACGCGAAAGCCGCGAATTTTAAAATTACGAAAAAAAAAACAAACAAACGAAAAGTTAGCCACGAGGTTTTATAGTCGCTCTTGTAAAACAGTCGTGTTCCACTTGAGCCAATTGTATACATCCGCACAATTATGATAACATATTAAAATACGCATTTTTATTATCTTGTATTATCTCGCGGGATCTATTACGCGAGATTCTGCTGTGTGTCGTTTCGAGAAACGTTAATTTTTAACGGTGTACAAACACTACGGGTAATGTTCAATCCGCGTGACCGTATGATAAAAACCGACAAACTCGTCTCGGTTATTGAAAATGTACGGTCGGTACGGTGCGTAAAATACACACAAAACACGGACAACTAATTAATCGATTGGATTCTTTAGACTAGTCAAATTGGATTTTCTATACGGAAAAAATCCCGTCAAGCTGAATTTTGGCGTATACCTTTATAACACCGTCATAAACAATGTGTAAAAAGTCAACTTCGAAATCAAATGCGCGTTAAAGGTTATTCGAGGTCAGTGGTCACGAAAACAGACTTTTATAAATATCTCGTTTGTTAATGGTCGTACGATAAAAAATTTCAAACAAACCAATAGAAAAGGTAATTATATACAAAAAATATATTGTGATATGTTCACGTAAGAATTATTGTTTTTGAGCTATAAGGCCTACAATGTACATACTTTTAATGCAATTTGAATTTTTTTTTCACAGAAAACAAATATCCTTTGCGTTAATATCTCGCTTTAAACTGGTTTTACAAAAAAAAAGTTTCAAATAAAAATTGTAGAGGAAAAAATGATCTACAATATAAGTTTTTTTATGTATACATATATATATATATATATATATAATTTCACTTGCAGTATTTATCATTCAGAAAATTACGAGTACATAACGATAATAAGAATGCATTCGTTTATGCGTAATGCAGCATTTAGAATATTGTCATCTAGATACCGGCTGCCTGGATGTTTGTGGTATAGCATGTTGCATGCATGCATGTATGTATGTATGTATGTATGTATGTGCGTATATATGTATATAATGATTCAACAGAGTATTAAAAGCTCTGTTGAAGTGTATGATTATTCAATTCCTATAGATCTTCTTCTACTGTTTCAAAAAATTAGTTTAAATAAAAAATATCAAGAAAATATACATGAATATTTACAATTTGAATTATCTCCATATCCCCTTGGCTCTATTTGACCAAGTAAGTATGCGAAAAACTAATAAATCCGCATTATTCAACTGTTTTAAACCAACTATTGTTGAACAACAGGTTACGTTACTTCGAACGCGACTTATATCATTGACGATGGATTTCTTTTGCATCGTGTTATATGGCATCAAGGTGAGACTTTTAATTGTATATTAAATAAATATTTTCAATATTTGAGAAATCGTTTCTAGTCCAATGAAGTCGTTGTATTTAATGGATATGACAATAATAGTAAAAACATAAAGGCAATGGAACAGCGTTGACGGTGTGAGTCAGTTATGGGGTTTTTGGAAGTTGTTTTTAACGATTCTACTATGACAGTACCTACAAACCAAGAAAAATTTCTTTCGAATCGAATGAATAAAAATAGATTAATTCGTACACTAATGCAAGAATTATATAATGTCAAAATTAATTCCAAACAAGCTCAGGATGCTGCTGACGTACTGATCGTAGAAATAGCGATCGAAGGGACTCGAACTAAAAAAACTATTATTGTTGGAAAAGACGTAGATCTCTTAATTCTACTTATATAACGCACTACGTCGCGCGACCAAATTTAGTTTTGAAAACCAGGAAAAGGAAAAGTTATATTCATCTGATTTGCATGGACCACAACAATTATGGTAGAGATATCATTTTATTTTTGCACGCTGTCACTGGATGTGATACGTCTACTTTTTTCAATAAAGGAAAAGTAAACGTAAAAGTAGTTTTAAAACTATTTGAAAAACGTTTAGGTTTTAACAAAACGGCAGCAATATTCAAAACAAAAACCTGTCCCATTGTGGGTATTTTCAAACATGGATTGCAATTTATTTTAGCCATGTACGGTGCCCCGAGAAAAAAAGGTCTCCATTGATAGTTATAGGTATTTAATTTTTTCCAAATTGACCAGAAATAATAAACCTGTCAAATTATCATCACTCCCACCCACAACTAGTGCCACCCAACAGCATCTACTTCGTGTTTATTACTACACCACACCGTCTACACTTGAAAATCGGAGCGAGATTTCTGGTAGAAAAGTGGTTCACAGGTTAAAAAAATAATAATAATCAAACAAACGTCATTGTAAAACTAATGTGCATTCATCGCTACGCTCCTGCCATACACAAATGTTTCCATGAAATACATCGCGAGGAATGAAGGAACGCATATTGTACAACAATGTTTACAATAACCGGGTACCTGCACCAATACATAATTTACGATAATAAGACTCATATTAATTAATTGCAATTATTTCATCTAAACACACTGAAAAATGCGGTTAAAAAAAAAAAATGTAATAATCATTATTCGCAATATTATAGATAAAATACGGAAAAATAACTATAATATTATAACATTACAATGGACCGTACAACACGTCATTTATATTTTTATTATTTTAAATACTCAGCACTGCAGCGAGCAATATGTATTCGTCTTACTACGATTTTTCGTGTCCGAGAACAACTTTTCTACCGGAAATTAACGCGCCATTCAATAAACGACAAGAGAGGTTTTTATTTTGGCGTTTCGGATCTGTATACTGCAGATGCACGGATAAAGTTATTTTTTTTGATATCGATCGCGGTTTTCATAACGGTCGAAAAAAACCGAGAAATACCGTAAGAAAAACGAAAATGTTCGCGGCAATAACGATTTTGTTTTTGTATTTTAGATTCTGAGCGGAACGAGGAATGTATTGGTTTTACAATGGTGTTTATTTTTTTTTTTTTTTTTTAATCGTTAATGTAATTCGATTGAAAACAATCGCAGATACCGGAAATT